GAGGAGCTGGCTGCTGCTGGGTGCTAAGCACCCACTAATTTTTTTCCATGGGTGCTTCAGCAATGGCACCCATGGAGTCGGCCCCTTTGGCATTACGCCAGAGATGGAATTCTCTCACGATGAAGAGGAATTACATAGCTAGCGTGGACTGGTCATGAAGCACCAGCCCTGTGTCTTTAGGTTGCTTGTTTAAATCCAACTAGGATTAATAATGAAACAAAGTCTTTATCAGGAAATAAGTTTTGATAATTTTCCTCCAAATTCGGTTCACGGTGTGCCAGTGTCCACATCCTTGGCAGCGGTCTCAGCAGCACTGCGTTAAAGAGATGACTCCGAATACCCCACATATTTCTTGAGTATCCCTTGTGCGATTATTCATTGCAGGGAGGAATTTGCTCTCTGTTAGGATATCACTGTAGCATAAGGTTTTCAATCGATTGCATTCCACACTGAACACTTAAATTCACTGCTAAGCAGAAGACCAGTCAGAAGGTTACGGTTGAATTGTGAACATGAGCCAAAAATTGATGTCCCTATACTGAGACTGTCAATTCTATTGATGCCTGTTAACGCCATATAAATCTTAGTTAATGGGTTTTCTAATTCTTATTCCTTCCCCTCATGCTCCACTGTAAACTCAACCCACCATTAGCACTTTCCTCCATCAAGAGTAAAAAAGCCAATGGAGACATGTGAAGGGAATGGAGGGAAGCAAACCTGTAGTACAAGCAGCCCTATGATTCACATTATATAGCTTCACCAATTGGGTCCATGATGGGTTTGGATGGATAGTTTTTCATTAAGAATCAATAAACAGGTTCCCAAGTCAACACAAAGCACTGCTAGCAAAATTCCCACGTTCCCATTCATCATTGCTACAGCAGGACAAGAAACTCTATTTGTTTCCTCGGAGGCTGACAAATGTAATTTATGGGCTTTAAAGACCTAATCATCTTTTTGTCATACACAATTAAATACAAGTATTTGTTCTGAGGGGCGTGGGAGGAAGCATGAGTTTGGGTTTTTTGGTGCCGCCTACTTTGATGCAGTGTGTGCTTGTGAAAGTGGCTTCCATTTATTTTGGAGATTCTACTTGGCCGTGCAAGTGCACCAGTTCCCCAACACAGAAAACCCGGGGCCTTTGACTATTTCAATGTCTGATTTGAAATCTATCATTCTAGGGGTAGGGAGGGAGATAATCTGATTGGAAACTAACTCTCGATCTTTGAAGTTGCCTTCAATTGACCTTAACGGTGCCAATTAAAATTAACTGAATCGATAATCCTAACCTGCCTGTTTTTTTCCATTCTGTAAATTCCTCGTGTTATTTAATTGGGAAGCACTTTACCTTGATTTCTTTTTGATACCAGATCAGCTCTATTGAACAAAGCTGAAGTAACAAATGAGTGTGCTAATTTAAGGTGGCAGGATACTGGAGATTTCATTAGAGGCCAACAGATAGACTCAAGCAAAATCAAACACTCTTCTCCCCCACCTCATCTCCTTTTCTTATCTGTAGAAAATGAGTCTGGTTAAATCCCTCTTTAGTTTTGTGGAATTTAAAAGCAGGTGGCAATGGTACAACATGTCAGATGCAATAATAAAGAGGTGATATATATTTATAGAAACTATAATATTAGAATAGGGGAAAGGAGCATTAGCAGGAAGGATCACTGAATGATTACATTATACTCAGCCAAAAACTACCCCAGAGCTCTCCAGTAAGGAAATTGAACTCTCAGCCTAAGAATATTTTTGCTCTTTTACAAATCTTCGGATAGTTCTGGGCGGGTTTGGTTTAGGCTCATCCCTACCTAGTTTTTCTTTTTAAGGGAAATTTTTGAGAGATCAGTCCCTATTGCCATGCAGGCTTTTCTGTTTTATTTAAATGTTAAAAAGAGAATTTTAAAACAAAAATGTTTAAAATGTTAAAAATTAACAAATGTTAAAATGTTAAAAATGTTAAAAAGAGACGTTTAAAACAAATAAAAGGAAAAAGAAAAGGAGTACTTGTGACACCTTAGAGACTAACCAATTTATTTGAGCATAAGCTTTCGTGAGCTACAGCTCACTTCATCGGATGCGGTAGCTCACGAAAGCTTATGCTCAAATAAATTGGTTAGTCTCTAAGGTGCCACAAGTACTCCTTTTCTTTTTGCGAATACATACTAACACGGCTGTTACTCTGAAATAAAAGGAAGTTCTTCTTCACTTAGCGCACAGTCAACCTGTGGAACTCCTTGCCTGAGGAGGTTGTGAAGGCTAGGACTATAACAGGGTTTAAAAGAGAACTAAATAAATTCATGGAGGTTAAGTCCATTAATGGCTATTAGCCAGGATGGGTAAGGAATGGTGTCCCTAGCCTCTGTTTGTCAGAGAGTGGAGATGGATGGCAGGAGAGAGATCACTTGATCATTACCTGTTAGGTTCACTCCCTCTGGGGCACCTGGCATTGGCCACTGTCGGTAGACAGGATACTGGGCTGGATGGACCTTTGGTCTGACCCAGTATGGCCATTCTTATGTTATGTTCTTATGTTACGTTCTTATGTTTAAGTCAAGGCGAGCTATTAATTCTTCAAGTCCCTGGAAAATAAGATATTTATGTTACGAAAGGGCTGGCTCAAGATCAGAGAAGGTTTGGAATGCAGAATTAAGGCTGAAATTGGGCTTTAAACGGATCCAGTTGCAATCACTCACTTGGCTTTCTTCAGAGTGGGTGATGTTAGAGCACAGAAGATGCCATCTAAGTCCAGTATGGTGAATGTGACAGAATAAACAATCACATGGCAGGAGGAAAAAAATCCAAGCAGCTGACTTCAATTAACCTATCCTCTCAGAGGCTGCTGGGTAGGAGAGGTCTGGCATATAAATACAAGCCACATCCCACTAATTCCAGAGAGAAGAGGAGAAGTGGTAACACCCAAGAAGATTGGAAGGCTGAAGGAAGGCTGAGGTAAAAAAAACAGCTCCAGAAAGGGGCATGAGATGAGGCAATTACCTTGTCAGGGATGGTGGGAAGGGAAGATATGGAATTTGGAGAAAGTTGGACACCAACTGCGGCTGCCTCCCTAGGAAAGTTGGGACTTGTCTGGGAGGTAAGAAGACTTATGGGGAAATGGGCCTGAAGAGTTTGGGTGCAGATGATGATAAACAGTATGGATACACCCCTTTATAAGTATTCTTACATTCTCTCTGGAGTCCTTTCTTCTCCCCTTTCTGCGGTAGTTAGGTCATCCTGGCCCACCAGGCAATGGGTTGGTGACATTTGGGACTTACCCACAGGGCCAATTCACCTTTGTGATCATATGCTGGACTCCCTGTAGCTGGTCAGAATCCATCATTCACAGTGAATTAAGGAAAGAGCCTGCAGATAATCTGCTTCAGACTGTATCTTTAAAAGCTAAAGAGGGTCAAACTGGGTCGGTACATTGAAAGGAAAATCCAGTTACTGCTGGGAGTAGTGTTGTTCTTACAATATGTAGCCCTTTCCCCTTTAGTTCAGTATTGAACCACTGCTGGAGGTTTTCTTTCAGATGAGATGTAAAATGGAAGGCCAGAAAACTTTAAAGTCAACGGTGTTGCATCAGTGTAAGTCGGAAGAATATCAGGCCAATTCTTTTTTTCCAAGGGGATGTAGCAGACGTTGCCCCAGTGAGTGTAAACGTTGTTGTCTTCAAGATACATACATCATTCTTCCAGAGCAATATGAGGCACTCAAGGATAAAACGGGTTGAACAGGTTCTATCACTTTTCCTTTTTTTTAATAGAAAATGGCTGTTTGTCTAAAGGGAAAGTTCTGAATCACTGAAAATCTAAAAACCCAAACACTTTTTCCAGTTTCAAAAATTGAAAACTGAAAAAAAAATTCTGGTTTGGGTCGCCAATTATATATCTATACATATACATAAAATGAAAACTTTCAATGACAAAATATTCCTTTTCATTTAATTATTTTTTCTGGGGAAAAAGAAACAAGCAGCTCTACTCATGGACTTTGCTTTGAAGAGTTAGTTAATACGTTAGCCAGAATAGAAGTCTGCTCAAGGATATCACTGAATATTGTAAAAAGAAAAGGAGGACTTTTGGCACCTTAGAGACTAACACATTTATTTGAGTATAAGCTTTCGTAAGCTACAGCTCACTTCATCGGATGCATGCCATGGAAAATATAGTGAGGAGATTTATATACACAGAGAACATGAAACAATGGGTGTTCCATACAAGCAGGAAGGAGAGTGATCAGGTAAGGTGAGCTACTACCAGCAGGAGAGCAGGGGTGGGGGAGGACCTTTTGTAGTGATAATCAAGGTGGGCCATTTCCAGCAGTTGACAAGAACGTCTGAGGAACAGCGGGGGTGGCAGGGGGGGAGAATAAATCTTATGCTAAATTAATTTGTTAGTCTCTAAGGTGCCACAAGTCCTCCTTTTCTTTTTGCGGATACAGACTAACACGGCTGCTACTCTGAAACTGAATATTGGGGAAGTTCCGTGACCTCTGAATATTACTTTTGCTGCTTATACAGTAAAACCTGAGTCCCGAACACCTCGGGGCTGGAGGTTGTTCGTAACTCTGAACAAAACGCTATGGTAGTTCTTTCAAAAGTTTGCAACTGAACATTGATTTAATACAGCTTTGAAACTTTACTGTGCAGAAGAAAAATGCTTCTTTTAACCATCTTCATTTAAATGAAACAAGTCCAGAAAAAGTTTCCTTACTTTGTGAAATCTTTTTTTTAAAACTTTCCCTTTATTTTTTACTAGTTTGTGTATAACACAGTACTGTACTGTATTTGCTTTCTTGCTTTCTTTTTTATTTTGTCTCTGCTACTGCCTGATTGCATACTTCCTTTAGGGAGCCAGGCTCCCCTCCAAACCAGAGGGTAAAGAGCCACCCTCTGGCCCTGAGTGGGCAGGGCCAGGCCAAGCTTCTGCCAATCCCGGGAAGGGGAAGGGTGGGACGGGAAGTACAAAGGGCGGGGCCCTCTGCCCAGTGAGGAGAGCACCAGGGAGGGAGACAGACACAGGTTGCTGGCTGCTCCCTCGCGATCCTGATGCTGACCCAGGCGAAGCCCTGGGCAAGGAGGAGCCTGACCGGGAGGAAGGCCTGTGGCAACCAGGGCTGCCGGCCGCTGAATACCCAGAGGACCTGGAGGGGCCTGACTGCAGCCCGGCCCAGCGTGAGTCCAATACCGAGGGGGGGTGGGGGTGGCCCGTAGCGGAATACCCGGAGGATCCGGAGCTGCCCGCAGCGGAATACCCGGAGGAGATGGAGGATCCGGAGCTGCCCGCAGCGGAATACCCGGAGGAGATGGAGGATCCGGAGCTGCCCGCAGTGGAATACCTGGAGGAGATGGAGGATCCGGAGCTGCCCGCAGCGGAATACCCGGAGGAGATGGAGGATCCGGAGCTGCCCGCAGCGGAATACCCGGAGGAGATGGAGGATCCGGAGCTGCCCGCAGTGGAATACCCGGAGGAGATGGAGGATCCGGAGCTGCCCGCAGCGGAATACCCGGAGGAGATGGAGGGACCCTAGCGGCCCTCCTGAGAGAGACCGGGTAGGAAGTAACCCAGGGGCCCAACTGCACCGTGGGGTGGGTGTGTTTGGTCAGCGGGTGCGGATTGCCCCGCTGACCCAGCAGCGGGACCTTCGCCTCCCACCACTGTCAGGGCCCTGGGCTGGAACGCAGGGGAGTTGGGTGGGCCTGCGTTCCCCTACCCCGGCGCTCCCCTGCCCGAGGGGTGCGCTGCGTGACTCTGGCCGGCACCCCTTCCCGCTAATTCCCCAATGCCCGGGAGGTGGGGCTGAGGCCTGCCATGGAGACCATTGCTCTCCATTGCCCCTAGGGGCTCGGAGGACCGACCGATGCCTGTCACACTTCCAATTCCAAGGTGTGTGGTTGTGACCGGTCAGTTTGTAACTCTGGTGTTCGTAACAGTGAGATTCTATGGTGCTGTGATTTGTTAGTTTTCCTTCTTTTTTGCATCCATTCTAGTTAATGGGGACTATAGCAAAACTTATTGAAAATGTTAATCATTATCTTTACTTTTCCTTTATAAATATATCTCCTCTCTCTACTAATTAAAATGTGTAAAATTACTCTCTGAGCTGAGAGAAAAACCTCCCACAGACCAGCTCAGTACCATGGGAAATACCAGAAAATAGCCTACAATTACAGGCAAATCAAATACATAAGTGATCATGAAGAATTAACCCCATTCCCACATCTACCTCTGAACGGCCTTAATTGCGGACAGTATAAGATCATAAAATGAAGCATCCCTAACAGTCCTGATTCAATAAAGCCTAACCATAAGCACATGGTTAAGTCCCTTCAGGGAATCTTAAGAAACCAGTAGCTTCTTTTTCACCTCTAAAAAGTTACAAGAAATATGGCCACTGTATCCATGAATATATAGTCCCTTTATTAATTCATAGGATTGTTTTGAATGCTGAATAGTAAAATGTGTTTCTACAACGATTTCAGGTAAAAACGTGTTCACTTTATTTAACTGATCTGCTTTTTGGTGCATATGCAATGGAGCTGGTTGAATTCTTCATTGTGAGTAAGAGTTATTGTGATTTTAGCTCTTTTTTCTGCTTGTGGAGTGTTCAAAACCCAATCCAGCTTTCTGAGAATTTATTGATTATTCCCCATTACTTGCCAAAGAGTTTGGATGAACAGGTTTCAGCCTCTAGGTTCTGAACTGTACACTCCAGCCATTTGATGTTCAATATTGATTGCCCATGATGGGTTACCTGAATCTTAAACTTTCCGTTCCATGACTGGATAACTTTCAGAGTGAACAAACACTTTCTCAAATGATTTGTGACTTTGATTGAATACTGGTGTGTAAGCAGTTGCATACTGGTGTGTGAGCATTTGCATAACCCCTGGGAAACAAAAAGCCTTAACATTTTTATTTTTGAAAATATTCATACGTGAGGGTTTTGTTTAATATTCACAAAAAGAAAAGGAGTACTTGTGGCACCTTAGAGACTAACCAATTTATTTGAGCATGAGCTTTCGTGAGCTACAGCTCTGATGAAGTGAGCTGTAGCTCACGAAAGCTCATGCTCAAATAAATTGGTTAGTCTCTAAGGTGCCACAAGTACTCCTTTTCTTTTTGCGAATACAGACTAACACGGCTGTTCCTCTGAAACCTGTTTAATATTCAGTGAGGTCTAGTATTCAGATTCTCATCTACCTATTTCAGTGGAAAAAAAGCCATATATATTACTTCTGATAGACCTGCTATGGGAGAGTGAGTTGAATTCTATTTTGGCTCACACATTGTTGGATGAATTGTTAACTAAGCACCCACTGCTGGATCTCACATGACCCTCTCTTGAAGAAAACAGTTTCACAAGTGGAATTCGCAAAAAGAAAAGGAGTACTTGTGGCACCTTAGAGACTAACCAATTTATTTGAGCATAAGCTTTCGTGAGCTACAGCTCACTTCATCAGATGAAGCTTACGAAAGCTTATGCTCAAATAAATTGGTTAGTCTCTAAGGTGCCACAAGTCGTCCTGTTCTTTTTGCGGATACAGACTAACATGGCTGCTACTCTGAAACAAGTGGAATTGATAGCAAAATCTGAAGATGGAAGATTGCACAGCTGTAATTTAGTGGAATTCCCCTGGGCAATCTCTTTCTTCCCAATGGTGTGAAGCATAAGACCCCAGTTCAGCTTTCCAATCCTTGGTGCAGTTTTCAGGGTTAGTAGTTTGGAAAAAAAAAACCTTTGTTGTAAATGGAGCAAGTTTGATTCGGAAGCTATTGAGAGTCCATAGATATAGAATCCCATCGTGGTATTTTTTCAGATTAGAACCACACTTAAATGAACTCAGTGCTAGGCAAACCAATCCACTGCTCATTAGAATTCTACTGCTGGATTTTCCTCCCAGAAAAGACGGAGCTGTTTGCCCCTCTAGCTGAAAAATAGCTGCAGCTTTCTTCAGGCCCCTTCACAACCCCATTGCCCTCCCCGGGTTCCCTTAGCGTGATAATGCCCAGCCACCTGTTAGCATGAAATTTAACGTCGGGTGGCAAACTTTTATTTCTTTAATTCAGTTTTGAAAGCTCCAAACTTTCCAAATCTGGTGGCAGATGCAGATTATCAAGTGTATGTCTATTTGGCCTGCTGTTCCCCAGTGAGCGGCCTGTATAACACGCTGATTATACATATGCAGCTAATTTGGTCCACAGTTAGGATAAGGTCATTGGTTTCACCGCCAAGCATAGTTAAAGAGCAGCCTCGGAATTAATATAGTAGGAGGAATTTCCCCACAGTTACACACATTGTTCCTGCCAGCCAACCTGCTGAGGCAGACTGAATATTTCTTCAGCAGTAGACTGCCTTCTAAAATGAAGGAAGCTGCATGGGGAAAAGAATAACACCCTTACGGACAGGAAAGGATGGTTGTTACTGAATGTAAAACCTGCGTCACTGCTTTGTTTGCTTTCCATGAAGTGCAGAAGGCCTCTGGCTCTGTTTTAATGGTCCTTCTGCTGGAAGGAAAACAGCAAACTTTCTGCACATTGTGTAAATCAGCTCGTAGTTTATCAAGGCTCCTGGTCTCTGTGCTAAGTTTACTTAGAGGTAATGTTGGGTGAGGTCCTTGTATCAGGAGCCAACTATTGGAACCTCTTTCTAGCCTTTTTGTAGCTGTCTTCTGTAAACTGTGTGTGCATTAGTAAGGCAAGCAGCTTAGTAATTAAGGCATTAAAATATAAGAACAGCAGTAGCAACCACACCAGCCAGGACAAAATGTCCAGACTTGTCGGGCCTTTGTAGTAGGGGGACAATAAGCTGACCATCAGTCAGGGGTGAGAAGCCAAGAGGGACCACCAGATCATCTAGTTTGACCTCCTGTGTATCAGAGGCCACCAATACCCCCTCAGCATCCACACACTAAACCCAACAACAGACATTAGACCAAACTATCACAGCCCACAGGAGACTAGAGTATTATGTACCACAGGCAGAGACTAGGACAGCCCGAGGAGCACCAGTGGCCAAGGCCCCGCAATAGCAGGGAAATGATTAAATGAGATATAGGCAGATAATTCTGGCAAATGACCATCACCCACACACTGCAGAGGAAGGTGGACACCCCTCAAAGTCACTGCCAATCTGACCAGACTGCACCACTAGCCTGTTGCACGGCCTTGAGCAAAGTTACTTCTTAGTTCTGCAAAAAGAAAAGGAGTACTTGTGGCACCTTAGAGACTAACAAATTTATCTGAGCATAAGCTTTCATGAGCTACAGCTCACTTCATCGGATGCTTATGTTCAAATAAATTTGTTAGTCTCTAAGGTGCCACAAGTACTCCTTCTCTTTTTGCGAATAGAGACTAACACGGCTGCTACTCTGAAACCTTTCTTTGTTCTGGAATATGGCGATTAACTGGCCCATCTCACAGAGTGGTTCTGAGAATTAATTAAGCAATGCTTGTAAAGTGCTTGGAGATCCTTGGGTGGAAGAAACTGTAGAAATGCAAAGATTATAATATACATTTCTTTGTTTTAGGGGACTCCAATAATCCACTCTATATTGGGTCTCCACTAACCTGCCTCACTATTTTAGCCAATGGCGTCACACTGCTTAGTCTGGGGATATTATGAAGCTGACTCAGGTAGATGTCTCTAGTAGTCATGTTTCAGAGTAGCAGCCGTGTTAGTCTGTCTTTGCAAAAAGAAAAGGAGTACTTGTGGCACCTTAGAGACTAACCAATTTATTTGAGCATGAGCTTTCGTGAGCTACAGCTCACTTCGTCGGATGCATAAAAGTGGAAAATGCAGTGAGGATGTTTTTATACACACAGACCATAAAAAAAATGGGTGTTTATCACTTCAAAAGGTTTTCTTTCCCCCCACCCCACTCTCCTGCTGGTAATAGCTTATCTAAAGTGATCATTGTACACATACACATTGTAAGGAGAGTGATCACTTTAGATAAGTTATTACCAGCAGGAGAGTGGGGTGCGGGGAAAGAAAACCTTTTGAAGTGATAAACACCCATTTTTTTATGGTCTGTGTGTATAAAAACATCCTCACTGCATTTTCCACTTTTATGCATCCGACGAAGTGAGCTGTAGCTCACGAAAGCTTATGCTCAAATAAATTGGTTAGTCTCTAAGGTGCCACAAGTCCTCCTTCTCTAGTAGTCAAGGAAGGAGACCCACAGTTTGCGCTGTGTGTTACCCTTTGAATTCTGACCAGTTTGGTATATTTGTGTCTTTTTCCATTTCTATAGCAGCAGTAATAATTTGTGCTGCAGTTGGGCGGTAAAGTGAGGTGAGCACTGGAACAAATGTGATTGATGGCACCACCTTTGTTTCTAATTATACTTCAAGCTGATGCGACACTCTGATGTTGTGTGTATAAAATTAACCCACTTTGCCACTGCCTCTCTTCGGACACTTTCAGCCCCTGGCCCCCTTCACTGCTTTCCATCCCCTTTTGCCCTCCTGCTACAACAAAGCCTGAATGCTTTGGATATATCCTTTAAACATGTGCATTGTGGATGATCAGAACAAACTCCTGCACAGG